GAGTCGGAAATTTGCTCCATTCAGTCGCTTGATTACGTCACGAACTGTCTTGCGGTGTTCTTCTTCTGTAACACTCCCAATGACTATGTCATCTACATACACTTGCACTCCTTTGATGTCTATGAGCAAGTTTTCCGTAACTCTCTGGAACTGTGCTATGAGTGAGTGTAGTCCAAACGGCGCTGACTTGAATGAGCATTGCGCTCTTCTCCACGAGAATGTGAAGAAGTGTTGGCGTGCTTCGTCTACTAGGAAATGGTAAAACCCTCCCGTGAGATCTAGCTTTGAAAAGAATTCTGTACCTTGTAGGTTGTGTAATATTCCCTTAATTTTCGGTAACACAAACTTATCTTGTTCATATTGATAATCGATCTCGCTAAGTCTGGACATGTTCTTACTTTCTTGAGGAGACCTGTTTGGTCATGTTCACCTGTTGATAACAACGATAAATTTACTGTTGTCGGTGTTGTTCGTTTGTATATGTGACCATCTGTAAGCCACCTCTGTCCGTTCTCATCCGTTTGTAAAATATACTTGTGAGGTATAAAGTTGACTTTCGCGTGCCTCATTTGTCTAACATTAATTTCACTTGCAGGTACTGTGACTGTGAAGCCTGGTAGGTTGCAAAGTACGTCAGGAGGTATGTTTGCGTTGGTATCTAAAAGATCTGAAACTGACTCCTTGAAACCTTCTTGTTCATGCTCAGGGTCCTCTTCATGTGGCGTGAGAAGTGATTCCCATATCGCATCTGTTGATGTAAGAGGATTATTTAATCCTGCTATATATATACCTATGTATGGCAGAATGTTCATACCTAGAAGTATTGGTGCCTTCTTGTCTGGTAAGTCCAATACTTCAAAACACTGAGAGGTTTTCCTACCTCCATAATCAATGTCACAAACTTCAGTTGATCCCGTGCGTTGTATTCTTGCATCTGTTTGTGCTAGTTGTATATAACCCGGTTGCGCTCTGACCGAGAGGTATAGTTCTGATACTGCACTCTTGTCCATGCAAGAGTGCAAGAGCGTTGTGTGCCCGAGTCTACTAGTGCATTGTGTGTATTGTCATTAAATTGTATGTCTATGTATAAACGTTGGTCTCGTGGTGCGGCAAGTAAGGATCAAGGTAGTTGATTTAAATCATTTGCATTTATCAACAACGTTTCTTCATATGTACGTACATTGAGCCTGTCAGCCAGGTCAATCATGCTTGCCTCTGCCCACCAGTTGAAACTCTTTTTCTCGTTTGTGAACTTGATGTCTATGCTGATTGCACTTCCAACCTTTTTTGTTTGTAGATAGCAGTGCATATGACCTTTGGTCTTAGATGTTATGTTAGGTGGACCTATGTATTGGCACCATCTACTGATGTTCTTCTTATACAAACTGCTTCTTCTCGTTTGTGAACTTGATGTCTATGCTGATTGCACTTCCAACCTTTTTTGTTTCTTCGATAGCAGTGTATATGACTATTGGTCTTTGGTTGATATGAGATGGCTCTATGTATGTTGGTGTTGCTCTAGCTATATTATGAATTATAACTTATTCGTCTGTCCATGAGGTGCGAGTAACTTTAAACTGATATTACTCTTGTGCAAACTACCTTCTGATTGTTTGTGAACTTGATGTCCATGCTGATTGCATTTCCAACTGTTTTGTTCTTCTTCGATAGTAGTTTGTACAATTAACGGTCTCCTTTATTCTGTGATGTATATCGACATGTATGGTATTTGCTTTTCTAGTTGTACTATGAAGCCTATCACACCTATTTTTGCCCCTTAGTCATTGAGCTCGATGCTTAGCGTGCGCATTGCACTTGCGTCTATTAATTTTAACATTTCGTTCTATTGTATGTGCGCTTCTGGCTGTGTTTCTTGGTCCATGCAAGTCCTCCAGTGCTTGGCCACCTCTGATGCTCAAATGGTCGGCCTCTAATGTTGCTCAATTGGATCTGATTTGATTTCTTATGTGATCTTCGAATGTCATCAAATTATATTTCCAACTGTTTTTGTTCTTCTTCGATAGTAGTTTGTACAATTAACGGTCTCCTTTATTCTGTGATGTATATCGACATGTATGGGATTTGCTTTTCTAGTTGTACTATGAAACCTATCACACCTATTTTTGCCCCTTAGTCATTGAGCTCGATGCTTAGTGTGCGCATTGCACTTGCGTCTATTAATTTTAACATTTCGTTCTATTGTATGTGCGCTTCTGGCTGTGTTTCTTGGTCCATGCAAGTCCTCCAGTGCTTGGCCACCTCTGATGCTCAAATGGTCGGCCTCTAATGTTGCTCAATTGGATCTGATTTGATTTCTTATGTGATCTTCGAATGTAATCAAATTATACTGCTTCATGTGACTGTAATCACCTTTCTTTCCTTATCTTGAACCTATGGTTCTGATTTGTAGGGGTCCTTTGAAATATCTCTAATATGAAGCTCTTATGTGAGAGAGATTCTACTTGTCGAATCTTAAGCTCTTATGTGCTTAATATTCAACTTGTAGTTGATGTAATTATCTGTTGTGGATTGCTTATGTATAAGCGTGTACCTTGTGGTCTAAATTAATAAAGAAGCAAGATCTCTCCTCTGAAGATTACACCCTTTGACCCTTCCTTTGAAGCTGATTGCTCAATGGCTCGATCTTGAAGCTGATTGCTCAATGGCTCGATCTTTTCTATAAGGGATTCTGGAGATGCCTTTCTTATTCTTTTAGATAGGTTCTATGTGTATCGCTCTAGCCTAAGGTCTAAGCTCCTTCACGCTAGTGGTGTGCATATGATCTTGTAACTTGCTATGTTGATATCATTGCTTGTATTGTTATACTACTTGTGTATCTCGTGGTTGTTGTGCAGAGGCTCTAACTTCTATACATTTTCTTGATCGAAAACTACCTAAAAGTCCCCAACATTGATTAATTAATCAATGTGACACTTATATTTGTTTCCACTCACTGAGATACTCCTTTGTTCACAATAAAGCTTATCACACCTTGTCACGTGCCCAGCTTACTTCTGGAACACGTTCTGTTTACCTTGGTTGTTGTGCCAAGGTTCTTGTTTGAGGAATTCTCTTTTTCTTTCTCTTGTCTGCTGTAGTTTCAGGATTTCGTCTCTTCTTTGACTGTGGATCTCCGTTCGTGTTCCGGTCCCTCTTGCTTTCTTTTGTCTTCAGAAAAGAGTTTTTGTTTCACCTCTTGCACCGGCTGTAGTATCTTCTTCAGCGTGCTATGATTCCTATTGACTTATCTAAGTAAGGATATTGTAAAAAATGTAGAGTATGGAGAGTTGCTGAGAGGTACGAGTCAAAGGATAAAATCGACCTCTAATTAAATACGGTTATCTCAGCTAGGAAACGTCCCTAGTATGAGAGAACCGAACCGATTCTTTATTTGTGTTTTCACTAGACTCAGGATTTACTTGAGTGTTTCTCTCTCACGCGGAGTCCAGGTATAGCTTACCGGTTCTACCGCTAATATTTCTGATGATTCTAATATCAGAAATATTCCAATCCTAATTCCAAAACTCAATTTTTGATTATTCTGGGATTTGGGATTTGGATTGGCTTTTTGATAATCTGGTCCCTATATGCTACATCAGTTCAGGCAACACTTACTCGCGTGGTTGAAATGGCAGACGGCACACACCGCAAGTTCTTGCGGGCTGAGTTGAAGCCCCACGTAAGAAAGCTTACGGCAGGCCAACTGGGCCCTTCAAGGATTGGCTGCTGTATCATTCGCCACTTTGCGAGTCCAAGGATGGTTACAAACAGGCGATCGGACACTGCCTGAGACGTACGAAGAAGGCCCGCACAGGGTCCACTGCAATATGAGTTTGGTCTGGGATCGGTGGCAAATGTGGTGCGATGAGGCGGATTTGGAGTGTTACACACCTCTAGTGCCGGGGTCTGGCACGGAGCATGTGCTTCCTGAGCAATACGATGGGATTTTGAATTCCATGTTCTCGGATAACGTGCACACTTCAAGCGGCAGGTTGAGAAGTGTTTCGTCTTTGCGCAGTCGGCGAAGAACCGTGTGTAAAAGTCAGACTAATCAGGCTGACTATCGATGTCAATAAGTTAACGTAAAAGAAAGTACGATTTAGAAGTAAATTTACTCAATGTATTATAAGTTTAGCTTCAGCCCTTGGTAATGAGCTAAATATTCGGGGATTTTAGACTGAGACTGTTGTCTATATGCTCCGCTCTAATCACTCACTACTTTGGTCTATAAAAAAAATTCGGTGTCAGTATCTAACACCAGATTTCCATTTCATTGGATGCACGATATTTCATTCCCTTATTAATTTATGCTTCGAAACTATTTCAATTGCAATTACTAATAAAATAGCTCTAAGTCCAACTTAAGAAAAATAAAAATAAATCAAAAACACCATGTTGGTGCAGTTAAATGTTTGCAACAATACCCCATCACATGGTACCTAGCGCTCCTTCCCATTGAAGGCATAGACGGGCACATCTAGTTGGTTGGCTAGGGGGGATCATTTTCATGCCCCGTTTTTCAGTGGGTTATCTTTCGCTGAGAGTATTCGGAAAAATAACATGCGTCAACAAGTGTCAATTTACCTGAGACCCCTCAGATATTTTATCCCAGTATTCTGGTGGAAAATACATCGTTATAGAAAATCCACCATATCAACATCAACAGAGTCTCCGCCCTTTGTTGTATACATTTATATTCCCAAATATCTATTATTAGATTATTTGTCTGTCTGTTTTGTTTTCTGCATTTCAAAATATCTATAATTAGAGTATTTGATTATTTTTTTGGAGATACAAAAATCTACAATTGTGTTTCAACATATACCAGGTATTATAACCGTATTGCGTTTAAACATCAATACGTTTATAATATACGTTTAACATGTGCTTCTACTACAGGAACCCGCTGAGAATTGTACAAGCGAAAAGAAGAAACGGGGTTCGATCATATAGTGCTTATATTATATTCTCTTAGACATAATACACTTAGACTTTATGAGTTACTCGGTTACTCTATTACGTTTGGGTTTAGGTCCTTGAGGTCCCCGATGGTGGATGGGACGTTTCTTAGTGCCTTTAGGGGGTACGTATATTTCATGGTCTTTGAAACTTGGAATGGATGATGTCAGCGGATATACTTTAAGTACATCAGGACGTTTGTTTGTAGGTATGATAGCCACTGCATCTGCCTTGTTGTTATGTAGGCGTTTGTGAATCTTCTTATTAAAAGCCTTCAATACGTCTGGATCATCGAATGCCGATGGGGGTAGATCGTATTGTACGCCATCTGTAAACTCCGTTGTATAGCAAGTCATGTCCTCATGTTTGTACTTCCCAAGAGTTTTCTTGATCTCGTAAGACATAAGATGTGTAGTAGCTTCACGTGTGCGACGAAGGATGGTTTCTGTCGTCGGAATTCGATGTGATCCGATGTTAAGAGAACTTGAACCGTCAACATTGTTAACTTCGTAAGTTCCTCTCTTCTTATCGGCCACTGAAATCTTGAATGATCCAATGCATTTAGCCGTAAGCACAATTGTGTCGGAGTTGCGAGCAATGATGTTGACTTTATCGCCCACCTCAAACTCGACTATCTTCTTCGAATTATTCCATCGTTTTTGTCTCTTCTTGAGTGCGATATCCTTCATCTCTCTCAAGCAAGGAAAAACAACATTTCTGGTACGACGCATCTTCTCTAACCATGGCAACACATGATCTTCCTGAGAACCCTTGTTGAAAGGCACTTGTAGTTCTCTATAACGGCCCCTGAAATAGTGAGCGGGTGTTGTACCAGTGACTGAATCCAATGTCTCGTTCATTTGTGTCTGTACCCAGTTAATTGAGTATGGCCTCATGTCAGCATCGTCTATCAACGCTCCACACATGAACTCCTTCATCTTTCTGTGTCATACCTCTTTCGCACCTTGTGTCTGAGGCGTATCTTGCGGCATGATCCCGCGACGAGTATTATATATGCTTTCGGCCACAGTTTGTGTTGATTTGTCTTTTAGAGGATATAGTACGTTATATCTTGAAGCAAGATCCACACGTGACAGACATACTTATCTTTCGCGTGTGCGGAAGTGGGTAGCTCAACCAAATCAATAATAACCCTGCGCCATGGCTTGGTCTTCTGATACGCTTTGCAATGGTGTGTTCCCGTAGCGCTTAATTCGATTAACTTCGCAGTCGTTGCATTTGTGATACACCTGGGATATATATATAGCTTAAGCTTTGGATGCACAATCCCGTACCTTTTATAATCTTTATCAGTCCTAACCTTATACATGTGTTTAAGCGCATGATTATGCCTTAGCCACTTCAGAATGTCGTCCTCCGTTGAACTTGCTGTGTCAAAGTCTGGAGGTGAGGATTTCACTACTACATCACTTGGACTTGAAGACTCGTCTGGTCCAATCTCGCTTGAAAGGTCGGTCGTGTGAATTCTACTAATATTGGCTTTGTCCATTCGTTGAGTTACATGGTCGTATACATCTGGAAAATCGTTCATCAACTGCTTGAGTAACCTTGTCTCGGCTTCGTAGGTAGTTGCTCTGTCAGAACGTATTTTTTTGTAGTATGCTTTCGCTAGTGATGAGATCCTCTTTAATTCCTTAGGATCAGATTGTACCTCGTTGACGCATACTGCAGATGCGTGTGTCGTCCCAGCCTCTCGTCGAGACTTGGGTGTCAAGAGTGGAATCTTGGATACTTCAACCTTACGATTGAGGGTCTCAGATTGTGTTCATTTGGATGTTCCAACTGGACTTATTCGACATATGATTGTATGTCGCCAAGGCGTCTTCTGGACTGCACGGGTACCCTGGTAGAGCAAAGTATCTACCTCTCTATCCACATATATGAGCTCACATTTTATCATCGATATCAACTGTGGGAGCTATTTATCTGAATGTCTTAGGGGACAAGACAACGTGATGGTAACATATTGTATATGTACATAATTTAGCAACTATGGTATCAACAACCACGGTGGATTCGTCCGTGCGTTCTCATCTGTTAAGTCGATATGAAACCCATCACCGTCTGGATGTTCCCGAGTCCGGTATCGCGGCAGCTGGGCATTATAGTGTGCTGCAAACATATCAATGGTATGTGGACCATATATGTTGTCTGCATTCTTGAACCACCTAGGATTGGCCATCCAATCCGTAGCTAGCAACTCCAGGACCATCAGGCTGAAGTCCGGTACAAAGCGTGACGGCATATCCGGTAAGTAAGTATGTATCTCCGGTATATGTGTAATGCTATATGAAAATTTCACGATCTTATCGTGCCATCAACTGACCAATTGTGAATTGGGGTTCATGTCCTTTAGATATTGCAACGATTTCTGATCGCACAGTACATTGAAATGTTTACCGTATAGGTAGTCCTTAAGAGGAGTGAGTGCAGTCACAATAGCTAATTGCTCTTGTTGCACCGTCGGGTAGTTGATTTGTGACGAATTCATAGCCCTGCTAAAGAATTGCACGTATTTCGGTTTCCCATCTATCATTTGATACAGCACGCCTCTTAACGCCATGTCGGATGCATCGGTAGGCACCATGAACAGAACTCCATCTTTCGGCGGCTGGACTACTGGAGCTTATTGAACCACTGTTTAGAGCTGCTTGAAGGCGTCACTGCAACGCTTCCAATTTACCCTTGTGACATAATAGATGTCCGAAAGGCTTAAGGTAGCTTGCCAAGTGGGGAACACCATGTGATCTGTGAACAAAGTACCTTAGACGGAGATTTAGGACCGGACCAGAGGACCGGACCATAGGACCGGACCGAAAGTAGAATATATAATTTAGTGAGAGAGAAGGATGACTCATCGGACGTCATCATAATTTAGAAAGTAGGAGATCATAATCTTAAATACGGAGATTTTCACAATCTGCCGTTGTTAGAGAAAATCTCGTCCCACATGGGAATGAGATTAATAAATACAGCAGGCGCGTCATGATTCACAACGGCACTTCTGACTGAGTTCAATGACGTTGTAGCATCCAGGGACCAGATTATCTAAAAGCCAATACAAATCCCAAAACCCAGAATAATCAAATACTGAGTTTTGGAATTAAGATTGGAATATTTCTGATATTTGAGTAATCAGAAATCTTAGCGGTAGAACCGGTAAGCTATACCGGGACTCTGCATGAGAGAGAAACACTCAAGTAATTCTGAGTCTAGTGAAAACACAAATAAAGACTCAGTTCGGTTCTCTCAGCCTAGGGACTTTTCCTAGCTGATATAACCGTACTCGAGAAGAGGTATATTGTATCTTATTGTCTCGTACCTTTCAGCTACTCCATACTCTCCATTTTTTACAATATCCTTACTTAGATAAGTCGAGTAGCTTACACTTATCAAAAAAATAGAACGATAAGTGAAGTATACTAAAAAGAGTCTACAGAAGCTTTATTTTAGAAAAGTGAGACTAAAAAAACCCCCAACAAAGGACCAAGAAGCGAGCCGAGTCGAGTCAAGAGAAATCCTCAGGCCAGCAGGTGTTGGGAGTAGGAAGTCAGTGGAAGAGGTGAAGAACTCACCACCACCATTCAAGAAGAAGAAACTAAGGTAGAACGAACAAGGTAACAGTATCGTGTTTAAAACTATAACGTTCTAAATAACCGAGGTGAGCATATCGTGTTACAGTGTCAGGTTACAACAAAAAGGCAGGGAACAACTAAGTGTGAAAATCAAGGTAACACCGAGTGAAAATTCACAAGCTGTCATTGTGATGAATTAAGCAATGTTGGGGATTTTCAGACAAGAATATCATACTGGTGTCAGAAACCCCTAAAAAGCATATTAATACAGTTCACCACACACACTACAAATAGGTAACATCAGCTCACAACTATACCTAGATCAAACTAAGAGCCGAGGCTCAAAGAGAGTAGGGTGTAAAAGGCAAGCAACCACCACAACAAACACTATTGTAACGATTGACATCAAAATCTCGAACTAGTACAACTCGAAGGGCCATTAGTTCATTTATCAAGTAACACTAGGGCATAGAAGAGAGTACATCATCATATCACTCATATAGAGATATAGACCCTCACACAGAGTAATCTGAGACGTTAGAAGCGCAAGGAAAGTGAAATCAGATGCACAACACAAGTACTTGCACTTATGAAATTACAAATCTAAATCAGAGTGTTAACCAAAGCAAGTCACTAAGTAATGCGAGGGCACAATAGAAAGGACATACTAAGATCACACTTACGGAGCAATAGAAAGCCACAAAGGAGGTATCTTGAGGTGTGAAGAGCACAAGATAAGTGAAATCAGATGCACAAAATATATCAGTGAGAAGTATATGCACAAACATATAAAACACACAAATATATATAACATAGCAGAGTGCCAATTCAACCACTAAATGATCATAAGAGGTGGATCCAAAGAATCCGGACGAAGGCACAAGCTTTCAATTAAGATCGAGATGGGACAGCCAAGAATCTATGAGAGATAAGAGACTTACTTTATTTAGAATAAGGAAACAAAGAATAACAGCAAGAATATAAAACATGTCTAATAACACATTAGCGAAGTTATCAGATAGCCTTATACATAGATACAAAAGAAAGAAAGGTGTTTACACACATATTCCACAGACAAAAAGGTAATCACACTTCTGATCTCAGTCAGGAACAGAAATTACAAGACACACGCGGTTAGGCAAAACAGTGCACAGAACAGAGATACACGACACAACAGTCTAACAAAACAATAAAAGATATATTGAGAACGACGGTACACAATCTGATCGGGTACAATCCATACCCAAAACGATCACAAAAAAGATTGAGTACAGAATACAAATTCACATGACCAGACCACTTGAACCATCTATATAAAGAATATATACACAAAGGATCAGTTATATAAAGCATATATATGCACAATATATATGCACAACGGATCAGTTATATAAAGAATATATATGCACAAGATCAATCAACAACGACGAGTTCGTTCAATCGCATAGACACTATACAATTCGATAGGGTCAAGTACAATTACTACCGCATATATATGCACAATATATATGCACAACGGATCGATCGTATAAATAATATATATGCACGAGACCAACCAACAACGACGAGTTCGTTCAATCGTATAGACACTATACAATTCAATAAGGTCAAGTATAATTTATACCGTGACAATCAATAAGATTGAGTTGAGCACTCACAGTCAACCCAGATACATCAATACAGATGGATAGGGACATCAGATGCTAAGCAAGCAGACGATAAAACTAGGAAGTGTTTAAGTTAACACAACTTATAGAAAACATGGCTATCAGGTATACCAAAGGGAATAAGCGCCATTTCTGAATTCCAGACAGTTAGTCGAAGTGGTAAGAATCATTCAGGTAATGAAAAGCTCAAACAATAACATGTTGTAATACGAACAGGACAAACAGAGTCAAGACGACAACACAGTCAGATTAAACATCGGAGATTATAAGAGTCAAAGACGACTCAAGTCCAAGTCAATAACAGCAAGGGGTGATACAGGTCTACGAAGAATAACCCACCAACGCAAGGTACCAAATAATAGTAGTTCATAAACAACACAACTACACACAGGACAGAACATCACTGGGTGACGTCACCAGGACCAAACATCTCATTGAGATCACAGGTGAGGAATTGATTTCTCATATGGCGGAATAAGCACAAGTGACGCCACACGTGAAGCGCGCGCTTTCGCAAAAATATATAACCAGAGTCTTTATAATAACCCATAACACCCACACACCAGCGCAGACATCTAAAAATGCCAACAGCAACCAGAGCAGGCGTGTATGGTGCGGGGGAAGGAAGTGAAGGCGCGGATGACGTGGGAGTCAGAGCAAGAGGGTTGTGGCAAG